TCACCTCTTGAGCGACGGCTGCGGCCAGGTTGCCTCCCGAGCTGTCTCCCGACACGCATAGTCGCTTGCGGTCCAGGCTGTAACGCTTGGCAACCTCTTTGGACAAGAAGGCCCGCGATGCTGTCAGGGCATCGTGGTACTGGTCCGGGAACATCGCCTCCGGAGCCAGACGGTAGCTATGACAAGGTTGTTGTTAAAAAAAAAAATATATATATATATATATATTACGCTGATTGTTTTCAGTGGCTTCAACTTTTATGTACCATACGTTTCAAATAATTAAATAGTTTTTAATTTTCATGTTCAAGCTGTGCATCGTGTTACAGTATCTTAATATTCAATACACTTTTTAGAAAAAAAAATAGGCAGATGTTTTATTTTTATTTGTTGTAAACACTACCTACTGTGCTATATATTTATAAAACATCTGCCTATTTTTTTTTTGTTGTAAACACTACCTACTGTGCTATATATTTAAATTTTGGACAGTATAGTGGTATTTGGAGAGCGAAGTCATTTTTTTTCCAGGTAGTACTTGAAAAAAAGTTCCAGAACCAATTTGCTGTATGAACGAAAATATATATTTAATGTAGTTATGAGTGTCGTGACATTAATACCTTCTTCAAATTGATGAAAAGATTCCATTAGCCTTCTCATTTTTCTTTCTGGTTGTATTTGTTACTCACTCGACAGAAATGACGACAGCATCCAACTCTTCCGCCATCTTCCGGCACAAGAAGTCGTATGATCGCATCCCTGTGATGGGGGATGGGTCATGTGATGTCAATCAAATCAGGGGGCAGTTGTGAATTCCTTGCGGACCCTGACCGCTGATCACTGGTCATTTGCAACGTTCATTTTTGCTTGTCCACCCCCCCCCCCAGGAGAAACAGCGCCCTCTGCCGCACGGCCATGGTAATACCATGGCCCGAAGACAACCGTGCCCAGCCGGTTTCGTATGTGCCGTTAAAAATATATACATATATTTAAATAAAAAGAAAACTTTAGTACTCACGTGCAGTGCCCAGCGCCCACCCTCCTCCGTGGAAGTAGAGGACCCCTCTTTTGGGCCACCGTCCCCCCGTAGCCTGAAAGATGCGAGAGGGCACGCCCCCCAGCACACCATCGCTGACAAGCACGCCGGCGCTGGAGCGAGCCTCGATCAACTCGACCCACGACACCACCCGGTTGAGCAGGTGCACCTGGTGGCACAGGCCCAGCGCCTGGGCGACGTCGCCCTGGGGGCACAAAGCACAGGTGCCCCCGGGGGCGGGGGAGAGGGGGGTTTATCCAGGTGCATTCGGAAAAAGTAATTGAAAGGAATCGGGGTGTGGGAGCCAGTTGAGCTGCATTCAAGTAGAACAAGTCCGTGACGTTGCACAAAGCTCTTTTCGGTGAGTCAAATGCTGGTTAGAGGTTGCACGGCTTTGAAGCAAACTGAGCAATAAAAAATATGGAGTTTTATATCGTTATTTCGGAGGGAAAAATAGTCATGCTGGCGACATGCGACATGTTGCTTCTCTACAGTATTTAATAACAATTAAGTCAAACTATTGTACATTAAATACTATACCAGGAGAAGACTGACCTATTTTTTTAACAATTGGGCTACTATTGTTATTACATTGCTGTGTACCGTTTACCAATTGGCATATTTCCATGAAATAACATTACATTTTCGACCATAAAATGTGTGAGCAAATAAATGTGTCAATTATGGTCATTAAAAAATATTTATCTTGGTAAAAGATGTTGCCAACATGACATGACATTTTCGACCATAAAATGTGTGAGCAAATAAATGCTTTGGCTATTTTGTTCCACGAAACAATAGTTTGTTCAATTTATGGTAACTATTTTTAATAGTATCCCATTTTACATGGATTTCGTGTTGATTTCATGAATTATAAGTCAATTAATATACTTGATATCTACAAATCGAATATGAATTTATTTCTTATTTGAAAACGATTTCCGAGTAGACGAATGAATTAGCCTGTCTGTCGTTTTTACGAAAAAAAAAACATTTAAAAAAACTGATCAAGACACACATTTATTCTTCTTCATCACATTTGAATTATTAAGCAAATCTTCATCGCAACCCTCCCCCCGATGCAGCTGTCCAGTCAGTGCTCACCGCGCGCATGAAGCCCCGGATGAGGGCGTCCAGCAGCATCAGCTTCCAGGGCTCGCTCACTCCGCCGGGCAGCGGCAGGTACACGTAGTAGGCAGCCACCGCCAGCAGGATGGCTCCGGCGAAACGCAGCCTCATCGCTTGGCCGTGAGTGGGTACTGAGTACCGACCGGGATGCGGCCTCGGCTCGGCGCGCTCGCAAACACCCTCCCCGCCCGGGTCTCCAGTTCCCTCCCCGGGTCTCAGGTTGGAGAAGACACACACTGAACGCCGGGCAATGACCCTGATTTCAAAGTAAAAGCAAATTTGGGTGTTTGCGACGATCGCTAGAGCACGGATACCATGGAGTGTTGAGATTTAGACCTTACTTTGAAATCGTGTTTACGGAAGTTGTGTAGCGCTTGCGTAACAACGCTCTAACCGGGAAATGTAGTCCTCGGTGCTATTAATAGATAAACAACTACATCTATCTACTTATTTGACGTCATAGAAGACGAGTTTTAAAGATGGTCAAAGAGCAGAGTTGCCTAACGTTTAAGTGAAGGCCATTCCAAGGTGAGAGACCAGCAATGGAAAAAGCTCGATCCTCTCTGAGGCTCTGATTAGTCCACAGTACCTGCAGTCGCATCTGGTCCACGTATATTCATGTTTAAAGCATCAAACGTGGCATTGATTTGGTGTTTCTTTTGTGCGTTTGTGTTTACCGTTTTTTAACAGTGCGTATGAGAGGTAACGACGACTGACAAGTTGACAAACAGTAAAGTGGGAGGTGTCTTACACGGGCTATAAATGCTAATGCGGAACTGTTTCACTCTCACAGGCGTTTTTCAATCGGCCTCCTTTCGGGAACGGACAGCAACACCGCGCTGCCGTCTCGTTGAGGCGACATCACAAATCTTTTTTTTAATCCTATTCAGGATTCCGCTCGCCGTCCGTCAGCATGCAGAACATGCTGAGCCTCCTCTACAATGCGCTGTGTCGGCTCACCGGTAGGGCTGCGGTGAGTGTCCCGGGAGGCTTTTTGTTGTTGCCGATGATGATTTTACTCCTCCGGACGATCTCAAGATGCTAAACGCGCTAGCTTACTACTGCCGCCAGGCTGAGTGCAGGCTGACCTTGTCAGTGCCTCCTTTTTCACACACGAACCACTAATTTGTATTTCCTTTGCTATTTCTTGACTTGTTGACTTTTCAGAACAGAGTATGACTTAATGTTTGTGAGTCCGTAGCTTAATATGCATGTGCCACAAGTCACTGCGTAGTGCAAGTCCGTTTAAGTTTGGAGTGAAGAGACGTTGCAACAATAATAGAATTAAGATGTTTGTGAAAATCTGCAAATTAGTGCGTCATGGGCAAAGTTGTCTGTGAGCACATTCTTTCTTGAAACAATAGGGCTTCCTTGTTCGATCAGTATGACTTTCACAATTCTCTGTCGCAGCACCTCTGTTTTGTGTTGATCAGAAATTCAAAACGCTCAGAAAGTTTGTTTCTCCACCCTACAGAATGCTTCACGTGTTGTTTTTCCTCTTTATGCTCTCTTGCTCACAAATCCAAATTGATGTCTCGCTTCTTGTCCCTCTTCCACTTTCGCCTGAACCCCAGGGAGCCCAAACCGTGTCTGAGGTAAGTTGCTCACCACTCAGATGCTGTTTGTTCTTAATCTTTTCCCCTTGCAGCACCCTTTATAACATCTATTTTTGCACCGCAATTCCACGTACTGTTTTCGAGAAGGAGTCCATCCTAAAATTGTCCATGTGCAAATATCTACCTCTTATTTGTAGTTTATTTTAACTGTAAGATGTACCTTTATTGTCATGAAGAATTTGCAATTTAACCCTGATGGTGGTGGGTACAAAAAAAAACAAAAAACTAAAATGTAATGGAATGTGGCTTGGGTTTTGTTAGTTTCTGTTAATCATGAATGGAATTTTGTGACTGTTCCCTCAGGAATTCAGAAATAATCCCGGCAAGTGGTCTTGTTTAAACAACGCCACGATAGTGTAAATGCACTGTCACTGCTCAAATGTCAAATTACAAACAGTTGGCCTGCTTCGGTCTCCTTTTTGGCACTCTAGAAGCGTCGCGCTGAGCGCTCTCAGTAGCCCGTCTCTCGCTGGCTCTGACTAATTGGCTCCTGTGCTCCCCAGTTGCTGATTGGCCTGTCAGAGTACGTCAGTCTAACCTTGCCGGCGGCGGCACCCGACTTGGCGCAGACGCAGCGGCTGACCCCCAAAGCTCCGCCGATAGTCAGCGCTAAAGCTGGCGCGGCGCCCTTAGCTAGCACGTCGTTGGCCGCACCAGTAAGAAGCGGAGACGCAGGCCTCCATTGTCTACTTGCCTGCTTGTCACTAACTTTTTCGTTCTAAGCGCTCTTGATCGGGCATGTTGTGCATTGCGGTCTGTACATTTCCACTCTACTTGAGGACATGGTCAATATGCCTTCTTCCTCTTTACTCATGTAAACAAATGAATTTCATTGACTTTTTCTATCGAGCAGGCATTCCCAAACGCGCGTGAAAGGGGCTCATGTTTGTGCACGGGGAGTGTCAGCCGTCTTTTAACATGACTGATAGCCCTCATCATGAGTTGGCTGCCTGAGCTCGCAAGCTGACATGTAGGCTTTATATTCACGACTCTTCTGGGTTTAGTGCGCTAATAGTGTGCATCCGTGTGTGTACCTTCAGGTTGCCCGCGTTACTGCTTCCCGCGCCTACTCTGACTTTACACCTCAGGTGACCTTGGACATCAAGGTGAGCTGATGAAGCACTCGACTTTCATCAGGGCTGGGTGAATTTCACTTAGGAGGTGACATGCTAAAATGTAATCGCCCAGCCCCTTTTCAAAAGATTTGCCTTTTGTGGTGTCTTGAAACAGTTTTTCGCCGCTAACAGAAATGCGAGCTGCACCTCTTGGAGGAGGGGCCTTCTGCGAAGGCGGAGCTAACGCGCGAGCAGGGCCTGCGGTATTACCGCACCATGCAGACGGTGAGGCGCATGGAGCTCAAGGCTGATCAGCTGTACAAGCAGAAGATCATCCGGGGGTTCTGCCACCTGTATGACGGACAGGTGCGGAACATGTCCACTTTCGAGCAAATGTATTATTTTTTTCGGGGAGGAGCTTTAACCAATACCAGCAATCTGCATTCATCAAAAACGCCTTGATGCCAGTAAGTTAAAAAAAAAAAAAAAAAAATTAAATTAAAATTTGTATCGTACAGGAAGCTTGTGCTGCCGGTGTGGAGGCTGCCATCAACCCGACTGATCACCTGATCACGGCGTACCGCGCGCATGCTTACACGTACACCCGCGGCGTATCCGTCAAGCAAGTCCTGTGCGAGCTGACTGGTAAGAAGGTGTTGGGAAAAGAAGTCGAGCGGCTCAACGCCGAGCCTCAGCTTGTGTTGCTGCGCAGGTCGAAGAGGGGGCGTGTCCAAAGGGAAGGGAGGCTCCATGCATATGTACGCGCCGCGCTTCTACGGAGGAAACGGCATTGTGGGAGCACAGGTGGGCAAGTCGACTCGGACAAATCCGCACAGCCTGTCGCGACAGTTGCCTGTATTGCAGTTAAAAACTCATTCACTCCCAAAGACGTTTTAAACGTCTTTTCAGACTTGGTCTAGAATTGGGTGATACTGAATGAGTTTTAATCAGTTAATGCACACTTTTTTTTTTTTTAATTTCGTCTGAAAAATCCTAATGCACACCACGAAACAAATGCCGCGAAAAGTACGTCTGTGCAAATATGATCTGGTCTCACTTTACTCACACATTTACTTAGTCGGTGTAAAAGTCACATTGGTTTCATTTGCTATGCTAACGCCATCCTGAAGATATTTTTTGAGCTCATTCTTCTGTTATGTGCATTCCTGGCCTTGCAGCACCAAAGACGGTGTTGTTTTGTGTTCAGGTTCCACTCGGTGCAGGTATCGCTCTGGCGTGTCAATACCAAGGAAACAACCAGTTGTGTGTGACGCTTTACGGCGACGGCGCCGCCAATCAGGTCATAAAACAATGAATAAATGCACCAAATGTTTACTGATCACAGCTAAGTTTGAAACTTCTCAATCGGGATGATATAAAAATATGAACTGAAGTTGTGCACTAAGAGCCATCTTATAATTTAATAAATCTGTTTTTTTTCCCCCCCTGATTAATTCACATGAAAAGCTTGCAACTTTTCGACCTCCTATCATTTTGCAACCCTTACGTCAAATAGGGGCAGCTCTTTGAAACCTTCAACATGGCCGCCCTCTGGAAGCTCCCGTGCATTTTCATCTGCGAGAACAACCAGTACGGCATGGGGACGTCGGCGGAGAGGGCGTCAGCCAGCACCGACTACTACAAAAGAGGGGACTACATCCCGGGGATCCGAGTGAGAGCCGTGATCATGTGACACCTACATGTCGTCGCCCTTTTTCATAGTGTTTCTAAATACGGTACTTCCGGGGTGGCAGGAAAGGAGGGACTACCGCTGACGTAAACTTAAAAACTGTGAACCGTGTGAGATGTTGGCGTGAAAATATTTGAGGGGTCCAGGGTCACGGCTGCAGCAAGACCGTGTGCTGGAGCCGGCCGGCCTGCGCGGACCTAGACTATAACAAGACCTTGGCGTCCAGGCAGTTGCAGGTGTGAGCATGTACCCAGATGTCTGATGCTCATGTATGATACTGCATACAAAACACGCATGTCAAATGTTAAGACACGAGATGAGCAGCCAGCTGGTTTTCGTTGTGACTTTAATGAAGTCCTTCTGGCACAGGTGGATGGGATGGACGTCTTGTGCGTGAGAGAGGCAGTCAAGTTTGCGGCGGACCTCTGTCGAGCCGGGAAGGTGAGCAGGCTCGTTTATGGCGCCTCATGTTCACCGTGGTGGAGGTGTAGGGACAGAAATGAATTCTTAAACACTTTTTTTTTTTTTTTAGGGTCGTTATTAGCTGCACACTGATTCTGAACTGTTCCAGATGTACGTGACCGTTCTGTTCCACATTCGCTCTCGTTTCAGGGTCCGATTGTGTTGGAGCTGCAGACCTATCGTTACCACGGACACAGCATGAGTGATCCTGGCGTCAGGTGGGACTCTTATTCTGAGAAACAAAATTTGCACTCTGCCCCGAAGATGAATGCCTGGTGGAAGTGTAACACGAAGGCGAGGGTGTCACTGGAGTATTTTGTGAATTGACTCTTTGGACAAATCTTTGATCGTTCATGCACGAACGCTTATAGTCTGTGTCGTAACTTCCTGCAGCTACCGCTCTCGGGAGGAGATCCAGGAAGTGCGCGGCAAAAATGACCCCATCGCCCTGTTGAAAGAGCAAATGCTCAGCAACAACATGGCGTCTGCGGAGGAACTGAAGGTAAGGATATTCATTTACATTTGTGCGCTTCAGGTGCATCATGTCGTGATATGATGCTCGTATTCTGTGTTTTATTATGACAGAGAATAAAGCTACTCACTTGTGCTCCGCCATCCAGAAGTAGCCCCGGCACCTCATGTTTACAAACGTGATGAATCGGTGACGCTCATATTGTTCTCGTTTAGGAAATGGACGTGGCCATTCGGAAGGAGGTGGAGGAGGCGGCGCAGTTTGCGACGGCTGATCCCGAGCCCCCGTTGGATGATATGTGCAACCACATCTTTAAAAACGACCCCCCGCTGGAGGTACGTGGGACTAACCCCTGGTCAGTACTCAAGTCGGTAAGCTAGACCAGCAACCGGACCAGCACATGGACTCTGACCAGGATTCTTCGTCGTGTGGGACTTGGATCCATTTGCTTTTTTTAAAAATAGATGTATTTATTATTAATATATTGATATATGAACTTTTATTCTACTTGAGCTGCTGTTTCATCTGAAAGGAGTTTATCACTATTGGCTTCATTCGGACTCCAGCAATACGTTTTTATGATCTGATTGTGTTTGATGTGACTGTTGTGATGGACTGCTGAACAATGTTGTAAAGCAACACAGTATTTTATTTTTTTTACTCCAGTTTCAAGCAATATGTTTTTATCCATGCACCAAAACTTGCCAATGTTTACCAGCTTCCAAACATACGATTTCAAAAGGAGCACTTTAATTTTCCATGTTGTCCACGTCTGTTTAACAGCAAAGGTTACTTGCAAAGAAAAATAAAGAGAAATGTAAAATGTTAGCGGAGTCTTCATTGCCGATAGCTGAGTTGCAGCTTGCCTTCTACGGTACTCTGTCATTTGCTGCCATGTTTCTGGAGAGTTGGTATAACGTTAAATTTTATTTTGTTTGTCTGTTTCAAAAGGAGTCGAAAGACTTTTAAACTTAACCCCCTCACAATTATCCAGAATATACAATCAAAAGTTTGAAATGCATAATACATGTGCAATTTTAGACACATACTAAATGTTTTATCTTTTCACTCCTCACATACCCAATTATAACACGACACACATTATATATATATATATATATATATATAGTTTGTGAGTGTATGAGAAAAAGCATATTGTCCAACAAATAAAATAAATACGTATAACCTTTCGTGTCATGTGACTGAATGGCTCCATTTGATTGGTCAACTGAAGTCAAACCGCCAGTGGTTCCAAACATCACGTGATAAATCCCTGGCAAAACAAAAACATCACGCAGGCAGGTTTAAAAAAATCAGAGTAAATCAATGAACAGAGTAAAAGAATAAATTCGTAACTAAAATTCTCACGTGAAAAATCTTACATAAAAACTTCTCTGACAAGTACAATTCATCCCACAAAGTTGCTTAAACGAAGTAAATGTAGCGTTACTGCCTACTTTTGCCTGTGATTACTTTTAGAGCGTGGGTGAGTACAAGACGATGTTCTTAATATCGTTTATTTTGCGATTCGGAGTCCGACTGACTGATTTCCGCCATGGTGACGAAGCAGGACAGGTAAGCCGACACCGGCCGCCATATTGGGAAGTACAGGAAGTCAACGCGAGAGAGCGAGCGAAGGGGGAAGGCGGAACAGACAAAACAGAGAGAGAGAGGGGGCGGCAGATAGACTACAATAGTGACAGGCGAGTGTTACATGTGAGATCTCGGAAAGGAGGAAAAGGGCGTCCTCAATTCCGTTTCTCATGTCCGTCCGTCCCGAGGAAGGGGCGGACTCGGCGCCACTCCACACCCGCGGATAGGTAGCATTCCCTCGGCTCAAGAGCTCCGTGGCGGGTCGGCGTCATCCGGCAAGTGACGCGTAACTAGCTTCACATTTTGCCGAAAGGCCAAAGGAAGGCGAAAGAAAAGAAGCGAGGGCGGTTGTACTGCAGGTCCCGGCACACGGAAGGGGAAGTGAAATCGGGAGGGAGAGTACCGGGGCAAGTCGAGGCAGAGGAAGGACAAGATGCCGCTGGCTCAGCTGGCAGATCCCTGGCAGAAGATGCCGCTGGGGGGCACGACGGGGGAGGTGAGTCACAGTCCGCGCTCGCCTTTAAATCCAAGTTGAACTACACGCGGAAATGGCAAAAGTACTCGCAAAGTGAACTTAAAAAGAAGTGCAAGGTGACTGTTCAGAACTTGTGCAAAAAACAAAAAAAGACTGGCAAAAGTAGAAGTCCATACTGATTCAACTCCTGTACGTTAAAAAAATAGAATGAAAAGTACTCAAAAAGGATTTTTTTACTGTGAATTATCGACTCACCTACTTAAATACATTTAAGTTGGTTTCTTTTTTCACTTCGGTACCAAATAAAAACATTTTCTACTGTCAACTATCAGAGGTGGCAAAAGTACTCCCACTGTAGTAGTAGTACGGGTGAAAGTGAAACGTCGTCAAAGTAAAATTACAGCTTCCTGAAAAATCTATTGATGTACAGTAACGACAGTATGTTTTTTTTTTTTGCACTCGATGACTCGTCAGCCCTGGCACGAAAGACTCTCTTGTGTGTCACTCACAGTACAAATTAGCCATTGACCTGTTTGAGCACAAGAAAGACAATAACGTCTCTCCTCACAAAGTCTCACAACAACAACAAAAGCAGAGTCGATTGCACACGATCGTAAATTGTGTTCTGTTCAAACGAGAGCCAAGGAGTTGCCCATATGAATCATACAAATCTCTTTAGTTTGGAACTTGATCTCCAGTCTTATGAAGTGCGGCAAAGCCTGAAAGAACAGCTGAACTTTATCGAACCAAAGCATTTGAACAGGGGTGCGTCGACTTTTAAGTAGCATCCGGACACGCCAAAAACCACATTTTACGTGAAAGTCTTGTTGTTGTTGTATGAAATGAATGATTGTAATTGCATGTGCGGTCGCGGAGAGCAGTTGGAGACGGCGCTGTCATGTTTGCCGGATGACTAATGACATCAGTTGGGCCTTAATGGACGTCCGACGTCAATCGAAAGCTGAGAGTCAAAGCCCGTCTTGTGCTTTGGATGCTATTCTTAGCCTTTGTGGCGTTATGCAAAAGAACGAATGCGCGCAGGAAACGTTTTGGAGAAAAGTGTGGGATTGCTCCACCAACTGAGTCAGTGGCGCGTGCGGGTGTGCGCGCGCGCCCGTGTTCCGGTTCTTCAAGTTTTTCCAAAATCTCAGCAACGAGCACGAGGCCGTCTTTGCCACATGATTTGCGTTCACTTCCTGGTGCGACAACAGCGGCGTGTTGCTTGTCCACTTCCTGCGTGGTCACCAGAGACACGACGTAACCCCCTTTAAGTGTGCGACGGCAACTATCGCTCATGGGAAAAATGAGATTTGATTCCATATTTAAGGTCCATGAACTATTCTGATCTTCGTCCTTACTAGTAAGACAACTCGGTGGACTCGTAGTATGTGCCCTGGTTCGTTGGTCGTCGAGTGAGCGTTTCTATACATCCAAGAATCAGATGCGAGCTCGCTCCTGTCAAATTGGCATCATTCCTGGAATTTCTGCAGCGAGTCGCAGCACGTGGCGCGCGTTTCGTTTACCGGTGCCGCATCATCGCCGTTGCTGTGTCGCAGGGAGTCGACAACTACAAAGTAGTGAAAGTGGGGAAAAAAAACCTGTTTTCAAGAAGGGAAGCAAAATAAACACCTGAAATGATTTGATTGCATAAGTGCACACCCTCTTAAAACTGGAATGTGGCTGAGTTCAGCGTTAACCAATCACATGCAAACTCCTGCCAAACGTGACCTCTTGTCTTTGATTCACCCCAAATGAAGTTCAGATGTTCTAGTCGTCTTTTCCTGACAAGTTTTGCTGTCTTGCAGAAGCCTGAACGTATTGTTGTGTGACCACTGCCTACTGTTTGGAACCGCTCCTAATTCCCTCCGTCTCTTTTCTAAGGCCCCAATTTCAGCTGGAAAAAAAAAACAGCCCCAAATTCAAGTTCAGATGTTTCAAGTGGGCATTTCCTGACACGTTTTTGCTTTCGAGCAAAAACCTGATGGGTTTGATGCTAACCCCGATTGTTATTTGGCACTGTTCACGATTCCCTCCCCCACGACTAAATGAGCAGTAAGGGTTAAGGAAGACTTAGCTTAGCTTTGCTTAGCATTCTCGGACACAGGAAGCACCTGCCATGTTAACCTTTCACCTTTGCGTGCTTTCAGGATGCGCCGAACGACCTGGACGACTCGGTGGGCGAGGACGACGGCGTGTCGCTCTGCAACGTGAGTTTCTCCCCCGCGTCGTGCCCGACCCGCGTGCGTACGCGTGCGATCGACAAACGAGCGGCGGGTCGACGCCCACTCCTTCGGGATAATTGCCGCCTCGAGAGCGACGCTCGCCGAGGCCCGTCCGCCTCTGACTCATCCCAAAACATACGCGAGCCTCGCACCAGCGCAGCTCGTTAGTGTGCCGACGTGAGGGCGAACCTCCATGTCCCTCCCCCCCTTTTATGATCCTCCTCGTTTTGGTGTGGTTGGACAAAAAAATTAAAATAAAAATGCATGTACTGGAAGCAGTGCAGTCAAGAAAGTAGACGGTTGAGAATAAATCCAACCTCAAATATAAGCACGCTACATATGAGCGATTGTGTGGATGCTGAAGGTTGACTGACGTCATGTTCCCGCAATGTCTCCACTTATATTTCCTCATTCTGAACGCACACAAAAGGTTCGAGTTCTGCATGTGTGTGTGTGTGTGTGTGTGTGTGTGTGTGTGTGTGTTTGTACGTGTGCTTGTGTTGCCGGCAGCTGCAGGCATCGATTTTTAAATGCAGAGGGAGATGGCTTATGGATCGTCTGTCTGAGAAGAGCTGAGTAGTCATTACGTGTCTCTCCAGAGTGCTTCGTTTACACACACACACACACACACACACACACACACACACACACACACATACGCGGGGTTTTCCACTAAGAGCTTAATCTGGACGTCACATACTTTGGGTGTTTTGACGATGCAAAGTCACCGTGCGCAAGGTAACAAACGTCAAGTCTTGAGTTTGAACGTTTTAAATTGGCCCTCGGACACACGCACGCACGCATGCGCACACACACACACACACACACACACACACACACACACACACACACACACACACACACACACACACACACACACTGATGCCCCCAGTGGGGTCACAAAATGGCTCCCAGAGCACATTAGGAGCATGGCTTGCGCTCTCGAGGGACCGACTTCCATCTGCCGCCATCTGCTGCTGCATCTCAGGTGTGTGTTTGTGAGCGCGCGCGTCACGTGCAGTTCAGTGTGAGGTCACTTGTTCAAGTATTCAGACGGCAAAAGACATTGACGATGTTCCTGGGAGGATCGCTTTGTCCCACAGTAGCAAGCCGGCATCAATTCTAAGTTACACGCACGAACGCACGCTGTCCGACGACACATTTGGACCTTCATCCGCCGCCTTGGGCCGCTTCTTTTGAGACGGATGATCAAAGGAAGCGTTAATTATTCACGACAGGGAGCGTGGCCCCTCTCGCCAAAGCTAAAAATATGAATGTCTCTCCTTTATTCGTCCACTCATTTTTCACATTCCATACATCACGTCACAACTTCCTGTGTGCTCTTGTGTGTGTGCGTGTGTGTGTGTGTGTGCGTGTGTGTGTGCGTGTGTCACTGGCAGATGGTGTTTCATCTTGCGTGACCATCTGGACTGACTTTCTGTGGTCTTTGTCGAAACACACTGCCCGCTCAGTCAGGTGTGTGCGTCTCACATCCGGATTGCTTGCGACGGGAAAATGTCACGTAAAGAGAAACGTGAACGATTTGGGAAGCCAAGTGAATGTTGTGCGTGTGTGTGTGTACTCTGTACCAGGCGTGGTGGTGGTGGTGGTGTGCTCGGAGCGGTGCATTGTGGGTGTTGCCATTGTGAGAGGTCACAGGGTGATGATGTAATGTGTCGAACTCGCCTTCCTGAACTTGGCTCTCTCTCGCTCTCTTTCTCTCTCTCTCTCTCTCTCTCTCTCTCTGTCGCTGGCTCTCGCTCGCTCACTTTCCAGGAAGCAACCAATCAGGGCGCCGCCACACAATATCTTTGCGAGGACATCGTGCGCGTCTCTAATCCACATCACCAACACTGTCTGCACAACAATGTCGCACACACAAGTGCCTGCAGCATTGACTGAAATGAACATTTGGCACGGCCTGCGCGGCTTGCCCGCATTGTACGACAAGCGCAAAGGAAAAAGCGGTGGGGCGACCTTTGTCCTCTAGGGCGCGTTCGGTTCTTCAGATTGATGATGAAAAATGACCCGCGAGGTCCTTCACGGTAAATTGAGATGAAAGTGGAGAAGGAGTCGTCGCCCGGCTGGGGTTTGCGCTGACCTGAGCAGGAATTTGACACGCGGCCTCCAAACTTGCTTTCATTTCCTCCCTTCATCCTTCATCCTCCTCCTCCTCCTCGCTGGCACATGTGGAATTTCAAGCACCTTCCGAATCATTTCCCTACCCAGATTGACGGTGCGTTCAAAAACCCGTGGGAAATCTCAGCGTTTTTCACTTCAACGCTCCTAATAACGAACGCAAAACGGAGGCGCCGCATGCGCACGCGCTTGAGCGTGTGAGCCAGTTGGCTCCGCGCGCATGTGTTTGCCTTCCTGCACAGATGTTGTTGCCAGGGAAACAATGACAGGACATGACGAGCAGCTGGCGGGCCTTCCTGTACGTTGCACGCACGCGGGTTTTGGTTGGGTTCTCCTCGCTCAAACTTTGCTTCGAGGCGTTCCGGGCGCCATGACGGGCAGAGCGCCATGAAGACGCTTTTGCTACACGCCAGGAGACGAGCGTTTCAGGTAGAAAGTGCGGTGCGCGGTCCCCGATCGCTGACAGCTGTTCGTCACACTAGTCGATGATTGACTTTGGCGCCGTGCCCTCATCGTTCTACTCGTGCCGTCAATTGTCTCATGATGATTTGATTTCAAGTCGTGCGCGCGTGTAGTCGTTACACGTCGAACTGGTTCCAAAGAGTTCCACACGGTCCCGTTTGGCGGCATTAGTCACCGTCGCATGACGGCGACGTGTTTGTTTGAGTTGAGTTGAGTGTTTCGCGCAGATGAGAGACGGTGAAGAAAAAGATAACAACGAGGCCCGTTCCTCGAGCGTGCTCTTCTGCGGCTGCCGGTGGCTAATTGTCTTTTCTCAAAACTCCCGCGCCCCTGCTTTGAAAGCGCATCGGTGTGAATTATGGGTCCTTGCGGGTTGTTTTATTTTTTCTTCCTCCCTCCTACATTCCATTCTTCGTCGGTCAACCAAAGTCTCTAAAACAGGGGTCATCAAACTCATTTTAGTCGCGGGCCAATTTGGAGTTACGTCTTCCCTCGGAGGGCCGTTCTGACAGTGAAACCACAAAATTATTACTTGCGCACAACAAATTAATAGATGACTAGTTTTGAAATCGGTCAATTCTAATAGTTTGTTCAATTATTGTTAAAAGTGAGTGTAAGCAGGGTCACAAAATTATTGCAAAATCTCAACGTTATTTATCACATGTGACAATTTGACATTTCGGGACAGATTTTAGCAAGTTGACGCGCATGATTTGCTTTCGCGGGCCACATAAAATAACCTGGCGGGCCGCCTCTGGCCCCCGGGCCTTGAGTTTGACACCTGCGCTCTAAATTGTCCATCGCTGTGAACGCGACTTTGAATGCTTGTCTACTTATGGCCCGCCATTGACCGGCGGCGACCAGTCGAGAATGTACCAAGGGTCAGCTGTGGTCGACGCCAGCCCACCGACGACCTTAATGAGCACGCTGTTATTAAAAAAAAAAAAAAAAAAAAAAAAAAAATGGATTAATGGATTTCCTGTTGATAGTATTGCATTTGTGAACGGAATAAAGAGCCTTGGAGAGGCTCCGCTGGCAACTGATGAAGTGCTTTGATTGCACTAATGAGAGAAGAAGGGGCATGCGTGGACGTGAGGGGGGGGACAGTGAGAGTGAACAGACGAGCACGGAAATGTCCCGACTGCCCCCTGTTAATACGTCTGTGTGTGTGTGTGTGTGTGTGTGTGTGTGTGTGTGTGTGTGTGTGTGTGTGTGTGTGTGCGTGTGGTAACGTGGGCGCTTGCTCGGAGTACGCGTGGACACGTGACCTCCGACCCGCGTCCCGTTTCGCATTGAGAAGACTTTTGTTTGTTGTTTTTCCAGCATTCTTTGCTCCGTGCCAGAGAAAATGCACCATGGACTGGATTGGCTGAGTCATTTTGTGTGTTTGCGCTCGACGCGATGAGTCATGTCGGGTTCCACTTTTTTGTGATCATTGCATTTTTTTTTTTTTTTTTTTTTTTAAATAGAATTTAGCTCGCTTGAAGGCCTCTTAGCTAAACAAACAATGCAAATAGAAGCTATATAAAAAATGTTTTTTTTTTTTAATATGGTCTTTCTGTATTGCAGATTTTCCTATCACAGCGATTGACTATCTATGATAATTCTAGAATTATCCGGCCCGCCTGCCACATTGATGGAAGTGTCGCCGCGTGGCAGTGATTGTGTGTGTGCGCTTGATGCCAGCTCCTGAATAAATGATGACATCCTGACTCTGCTCCTCCTCATCGATCTTTCATCCTCTCTTTTTTTTTCTCTCCCTCTCTCTCCTCCACTCACCTCGTTGTCATCACGTCTTCACGCGGTTGGCACGGCGCGCTGTTCCGAAAGCCTCTCTTGGCTTGTTGTGTGCGGAGGGCGCCGTGAAAGTTTCCGGAAGGTGGCGCTGCGGGCATAGGAGGGACGTGCTCCGTGGTGGCGCATGTCGAAGCATTTATGTGTTCAAAAAAAATTGTTTCTTTTAATTTCGGATTTTTATGAGCAAAATGAAAACAAATAAAAACAAATTACACGATAAAAAATGTTAGCATGTTTTAAATAAATAAATGGGATCATAAATAGTCTATAAATGCCGCTAGTATGAAATATTTTATAGGATTGGTCGTTTTACTGACTAAATCTTGCCAAGTTAAATTTTTCCATTCTATCGGCAGACAGTTGCGTTTAAATGTCGTATTCAATTTCTAATTTTATTACTTTTGTGTGTGTTTGTGCGTGCGTGTGTGTTTCTGTCCTTGTGCGTCTGTTATTGGATCCATGCATGATGTCCAAGTGAGTGGAAGTGCACTTGCAACCTCTAACCTGACAAATCCCAAGCGTGTATGTGTGTGTGTGTGTGTGTGTGTGTGTGTGTGTGTGTGTGTGTGTGTGTGTGTGTGTGTGTGTGTGTGTGTGTGTGTGTGTGCGTGCGCATGCACGCTGGCCATCCAGCCTGTTAATTTGATTGCGTAACAGGATTAGAGGTTGCAGATTGTGCGGAATGGAATCCCACCGCCGCTCGATCTGTGATGCTATGCCACACACGCACACACATACAACACGTACAGACACTTGATTTCAACTGTTGTATGAAGGAAACACATGATTATGTGTCTAGGTGTGTGTGTGTGTGTGTGTGTGTGTGTGTGTGTGTATACACCCTGTACATTGTTTCTTTCGTTTGTGACGGTGCTGTTTGTTCACTTCCATTTCATTGTGAGCAATTGGAAGCGCGTCCTGGCGCGGCGGGCGACAACAGGTGCAGGTAACCTAAGAAATGTCATCCGGCCGTCACCGGCGCTTGGCTGGCATCGCGCACATTGTGTGCGCGACAGGTGGAATTTGGAAGGTCGTCGTGAGTTGCAAGCTGTGCTTCGTCCACTCGCCAAAACAACTTCTCGTGACTCCATTTTGGGTCCGGGCTGTGTACTGCGTCTTCGCCAAAGTCAGCTGGGAGAGGCTTCGGCTCAGCCAAGACCCTCACTGGAGCATTTTGACTCCTTCCAGACAAAATCATTAAAATGCAACATTTTCAGAATGGTACGGAAAACATAAGCAGTTGGACAGAAGTGGGAGGGGCCGTGGGGCCGTTGTACTCGTGGTTCGCGGTCATTGGCCAGTGTGTGCGCGTGTGTTGGGTGTGGGGGGGGGAATCTCCCGGACACCTGATGGAAACTCGGAAGGTTATGACTGTGAGTCACAAGGGGAAGAGGGTGTGGGGAATCCCACTCGCCCCCACCCCCATGTCCTCTTACTGTGGGTAT